CGAAGTTAATAAACTTTCTAAATGAATAAACTACGACCCCACACGTACGCAAAGCACAGACGCACCAGAACTCAGAAGTTGGGGGTGGTCAGTGGGCCTGATGGTTAGCCCTTCACAAAAAACACCTGAAGCTCCTATATTGAATAGTTTTTGAGTTATAAGCATTCTTGTATGTCCAGACACCTCCTTTTTAGATGGAGCCCCCTCCTCAAATATGGGATAAAACCATTGGCTGGCGAAGTGTAGGTGTTGACACAACCTGGTCAAGTAAATTCAACAAATAGTTTTCTTGAGTTTCGACTGGTCAGACGTCTTTCTGGAAGTCATCGAGCCTGTGAGCCAACAGTTGCCCATGACTGAAATACATGATGCAATTTTTATTGTTGCAAAACCTTTTAAAGAAAAATGTCTACGTTTGGTTCTTTGCAAAATCAAGTTATAAGTGTTAGTTTGAAATGTGCCCCTGAAAGAAATATCCATTTGAAGACTAGATATCCCTACTCCTACATCCTCCCTCTACATCACTGGTTTCCATCCAAAAAAAAAAATGAGTTTGAAGTAGCTATACAAACATCACAGATGAACCAATCTACAAAGAGCCTCATCAACCATTATAGAGGAAGAGGAAGGTCTAAATGATTTTTCCACAACTTTCTAGTGTAGCTGCCACTCTAGCTGTAACTTTTAAAATGACTTTATCCAAAGTGATCCAAGCCCAACTCTGACTCCTCATAAGCTAATTTTACTGGCACACAAAAGAGCTTGGTAAAACTTTAATAGCGAATGTCAGAATTTAGAAAAAAATTGTGTGCCCTTCATGGGGAAAAGGGTTATTTGAAGACACTTTTATCCGTATTTTAYTCCTATCATTCTGTGGTTTGATCAGGAAAGATTTTAAAACCAGAAGCAGGACAGACACAGTAACAAGCAAACCATCAAGTCTCCCTGATGCATAATAGAAGGGAACTAACAAGCTCATCTCTCATTATCATTCTCCTACAGCCACCTTCAGCAATACATTTGCCTTACAGCGAGTGGCAGCATTCAGCGGGGAGACAGATTTCTCTGGTCTTGTGTCAGAATTTTTTTTGGAATGTGTAATCAAAGTGGCAGCTCATTTCTGGCACAGTGAAACACTAAGCCTGAGCCAAACACTGGAAGGAAACGTTTGTCTGAGGGATAATATTAGCATACTGCCTCTGTGGTTTGATACGAGAACCAATGCAGACAGGACTTTATTGACTCTGTGGCTGACTGAACGGTGTACTGATTGTGGACCTTTGTGCCACTGGCACGAAATAAAAATTACAGCGCTGGCTATGGAAGCATGCAGTGTGTGTGTGTGTGTGTGTGTGTGCGTGTGTGTGTGTGTGTGTGTGTGTGTG